CTTCAATATGAAGATAAGATTCAATTTGAATTACAATTTAAAAATGTTTTCATTGTGAGCTCAATTTGATAACAAAATATTATATTATTCTATATGTGTACTAAAATAAACAAAGATAAACTACATGTACTAATAATGGTTTAAAGTTAAAAATATAATATTTTTATGATAATATAAGTGATTAGTATTCTATATTATTCTATTTTGAATGAACTAAAAACTTGTTTTACAACTTAAATAATGTCAAAGCTTTCGCTAAACGGCTAAATCGTAATGAATTGGAAACTAAATGAGATGTAAATGTATTCGCATATATATTGCAGTATGATTCACGTTTTAAATTTGTTTTTGCCGAAAAAAAGTCAAAGAAGTGTACTAAAAAGTGTTTACATAGCATTTTAGCCAAAGCTATTAACAAATAAGCAACTCATATCAATGCGAAAGAGTCTTAAGTTAAGACCCGAAAATGCCCTTAAATATATAAGTATGTAAATCAGTTTACTCATTGGGCTTATAGCGATATAATATCGTACAGCTTGTGCGATACTTGGCCAAAAACAAGACAAGCCAAGTGACTCATTTGACAGACCGACCAAGTGACGCGCCCCAAAATGCAAACGTGCTCAAAGATTCTCGAGAGACAGAGCGAGAGAGCGGGCAGAGATCCCCTTTATACAATAATTCATTTTTGAGCTTTGTTGTTTACGAAAGGCCAAACGAAATTGTACAAAATTTAATGAACCAAAATAAACAGAGATTCAGACAAACAACAGTGCGTAGCCAGGCCGGCACAAGGAACAATCGACAAAAAAAAAAAAACACACACACAGAAAGATAAAAAATAAACGAAAATATGAAACAATTTTGTACTGCATTTTGTGCTGGGGTAAACTTTTGCAATTAAAAGCTGCTGGCAACTGGCAGACGATGCGTGATCCCTAAAAGCCAGATGGCTGCACAGAGTTTAAAACAATCTTAAAGATTTCCGCAATTCCTGACCGATTAATAGATATAGCTATCTATATCTATACATGTGTGTTTGTGTGTGCTGCTGCTGGTGTGTGTTCGGCCAGACTATCTAATAAAATAATTTATGCTTTTCTAAGAACATTTTGGCTGCCCTTCTCGTGCCTCTAGTACTAAAAATGGTTTTGTTGTTGCCTAGGCCTTTTGCTTTTTTAAGTCATTTTATTTTTAGCAGCGTACGAAATGTGACGCATTTCGTTTAATTTGGCATGTGAACTTATTTATTTATATAAATTTCAAACTTTTTCTCTTTTTCTCTTTATTTCGAGTGAATGACTTGTGTGCGCCTTTTTTTTTGTTTTACTTCTTTTTGATTTGCGGGTTTTAGTACATGTGACAATCTTTCAATTGGACAACGCATTATCACTAGCCATATAATTAACCATTTTGCACTCATATATATATATACATTTATATGCATGCATATCATACGCCTACCTCATGTAGCTGTGGCATTTTTTTCCTGCATGCTCCAAAGTTCATTGTCTTTGAGCTTAGTGGGCCAATTTTTGATGGATGTTTGCAGCAAAGCCTTCAGTAAACAACTTCCGAATTATAATTATTGCATAGAGCATGGTTTGTGGCCAGTAATATTCCATATAGTTTTCTATCTTATCTTTTTTAGCAACAAAAAAAAAAAAACAAGAATCTAAACTCTAAAGCAGTTGGACTAAAACGAAACACAAATCAGCTTCGACTTTTGCTATTATATATTGTCTGTTGTTCAGCGATAAGCCGCAGATATAAGATTGATGTCATTCTCTCAAAGTTTTAGCACTGACTTCTAATACGCTACATGTGTTTGCCGTTCGCTGTTTTCTCTTATTTTTGTTTTCTTTTGTCAGCTGTCAAAACGTTTCGTCTTACACTCCAAACATTTTAAAAGTTGTGTTGATTAATTGGGCACGATTTGTTACATTTGCATGTCAGTTATGACAGTTTTTCATTTTTCACAGTAAAGAGGAAGTCGCATGAAAGTGAAAATTGTCCAAATAATGTGTTCTAAAAAGCGTCAACAAGTTAAAATATCGTTCAGCTGTTGTTGCGTCAGTGTGGAATGTGTTCAAAATACTAAAAATATGATTATTTTAACAAGTTTTAAACTTAGAGATAAGAGCTAAATGTTAAATTATTAGGGCCCTTCACTAGAAAAAATAATGTACTGCTAAAAATAATTATAGGCAGCGATCTACATATGTGTACTAAAAGTAAAGGCATTGTGTGCAGTACTAAAACATGGCAAAAAATGATAACATGATATAAGCTGTAGTCGTAAAGCTAAATTAACTCAAGTCATAGGTATAAGTACTTGTACTAAAATGATAAAAGTTAAATGTATAGTCATAATGTAGTATTGAAAACAAAAGTATATAAGTGTACTAAAATGTTGAAGAACAATATATATTATAAAGTACGCAGTACTAAAATGATAATGCATTGAAAATAAAAGTTTCTAATTAATATATACACAAGTACTAAAGTAAACTAAAAATTAATGAAAATAATATGATGTACTAAAAAGTTTGCAAAAGTTGCAAATAAAAATACACTGGTTTTAGGGCTTTATATGTAGTAGTACCAAAACGATAAAGTAGTGTAGAACATACGCTAAATAACTAAGTAACGAAAATAGTATACTGTGGCCTATATATATGTTCTGAAGCTAGTTGAAATGCGTATAGTATTAAAATGGTAATGTCGTGTTGAAAATATAGTACTAAAGGAATTTAAATTATCTATGTACATGAGCTAAAAGCTAAATACGCTTTAAGTAGAACTAAAGCTTGACAAGAAATGATAAACAAGCATGCAGCTATAGTCGCTTTAATTTTATGTACTAAATTCAGTATACGCCTAGTTCTGTGCAAGCCCAAAACCGCAGTCTTGACAATTAATATGTCTAATATTTATTTGAAGGAATTTGGCTGGATTGGTATAAACAATTTGTGTTTACAAATACATTTGACACTTGGCCAATTGGCTGTCAGTTGTCGTTGTAATCAATCTACCTATGAAATTTAGACAAGAAACCAATGCGTTTTGTTTACCTGATATTGCGATATGTCAGATATCGGTGGCATTTCGCACTCAATTGTGTATTGCTTACTTCTTAACTATATATTTCGTCTAGATTTCCTTTGTAAAACTGTTCGTTGTGTACCACGTGTATTGTGCAATATGTATTTCCAATTTTGTATTTATAAATAGCTTGAAGTTTACACAGCACGAATTGCGAAATAAACAACAGGTCGAACGGCCCCCAATGACGTTAGAGCAAAAAATTTTCCCTGTTTATGTGTCGAATCGAAATGAAATTGGATTACAAATACAAATATTGCCCTCACCCCTTATGGCATTGAAAAGTGCGGGCAGGGAATGGGGTTATCGCCTGAGCGTTTGTGCAATCCAGCGTGGCATTAAAATAAGAATCTTAAACCAAATCTATAAATTGAAAATAATATTGTATATTTATATATATTTACAAAAATATACAGTATAATGCAGCTGCAAATGAAGCAAACAACTTGCGACTCAACTCGGCTCGATTGGCGATCGCCCACGGTGCAATGCATTTTGAGGGGCAACGCTTTTCAAATATACACACATATATATATATATATATTTATACTACATTCGTCATGTGCGCCAGGCATATAGAAATACTTATTAGCATTCGGCTGGAGCAATTAAATCGCCCCCGACTCAATAATCATAAAGGCGCAACAGCTTATACTACTGGCAATCAGATGCTTACACATAGAAACGTGCGAAGAGCGTGCTAAATTATATACTGAAGGCGTGCAGTTGTTTTCTTATACACATTTAGCTCGATTGGCCTTACTTTGAGCTGTACGAAAATGTTCTAAAGTTGTAGAAAGCAGCTGAAGTGAATAATGTTAGCTACTTTGAGACGTACTAAAGGCGACTTAAGTTATAGATAACGTCTGAAGTCAATAATAATAAATAATAATAGCTTGAAGGTGTACTAAAGAAGTGCTGAGCTTAAAGTACTAAAAAGCCGCCTAGCTTTAACTGCACTTTTGAAGTCAATAATAATAATATGTTAAGCTGTAGTAAAACGTGCGAAACTTGAGACAGAAGTCAATAAAAATAATACCCAGAAATGTTTTTAAATGTGCTAAACTCAAGAAAGACAGCTGAAGTCACAAATATGATTGATGGTTACTTGAAAGCGCACTAAGTTATAGTAAGCGTATAGAAGCCAGCTAAGGCCAATAATTAAAGCTGTTAGCTGTACTAAAAGAAAGCAGCTGAAGTCAATTATGATGGTGATTTGAGCCTGTACTGAAATGTGCTGAGGTAGTTAAAGTCATAGAGTCATTAAATATTTAGCTGCACTAAAGTGTGCAGATCTGATGACTGAAGTTGTCAGTAATACGAGCTGAAGCTGTACTAAAATACAGCATACTTCTAGAAGACAGCTGAAGCCACTAATTTGATTAATGGCACTTTCAAACTGTACTAAAATGTGCTAAACTTAAAGATGACAGCTGAAGTCAATACTGATGGTAGCTTGCAGATGTACTAAAATATGCTAAACTCTTAAAATACAGCGAAAGTCGTTTATATTGACAAGCGTACAACTTTAAGCTGTTCAAAACTATGTTATGGATAGTTTATATTTGATATATAATAGAGCAACGACGAATGCATGTTTTCAGAATATCCAAAGATGCCAAACAGCTGAGAGTCGGCTTGCTCTATTGCCACATGCTCTAAAAATGTACTAAAACCTTGTAACCTTATCTTATGAGTTCGAGCAACAAATTTATGATTCCTTAGATCTAGATCTAAAAATGATTTGAACTTTGATTTTCAGTCAGAATGCAGTAAATATATGAACACTCCTTGCCCATTATATATAGCTATATGCCTTCATTCTTATCAATAATTAGTACGACGTTTCTTTGCCGTTGTTTGGTGTTTTTTCATTTTGGTTTTTTTGCTTACAGATATCGTTTTCGCTTATCGAAAATACAACAAAAGTCTGTACCGAATGCTGCCGCCGAATTGCACAAAAACTCAATATACTTGCGATAAGGTAAATGGAAATAAATGGTGCTATATGCCCCAGTTGCATTCAATGAGGAGAACCTGAAGAATCAGAAACGAACCGATGTGATACTTGGAGACTAAGGATTGCAACAACGACAAACAACAAATACTCTATAGTATTTAGCAGTGGACAACAAAGAAAGAAAAACTGCATAGCAGATTAGAGAATAGAACTAAAATAATTTGCTGCAAGACTTGCCACATTCAACATGGAACACTTGGATCTGGCGGGCTATCTAAATACGCCCCTCACCTGGAATTTGGGCGCATTTGAACAGCAAGGTGAGTCGAAGAACCAGCAAATGAATAAATATATAAAATATATAATAAATATATAAATATATAAAATATATAATAAATATATAAAATATATAAATATATAAAAAAAATTATATGTATTTCAATATGTTTAATAGTTAATCAAATAAGAACTTCCGAAAGCACATCAAAATCTGTGAATCGAGCTCTCTCCCATTCACAAACAGAGCTACAGTTGAGCATTGCGTCACGTTAGCTTTTCACAATAAAGATATGCGACAATCTAGTAAAGAATTTACTCAATGAATGCCAAGTTTGCTTTAATGATATTTTAATCAAGGGCAATAAGAGACGATGGATAACAGTCAACAAGTTGTTTGTTCTAAATTAACTTTTGCTAAACAATACATTTTCGTATTGTTTTATAATCAATCAAGAGCTCATATTTTAAACTTAAATTGTCATTATAAGCTTTAAGCACATATTTAATTTTCAAGCCAAGAGCTTTCAGTTGCTTTTCAAGCCGTTTTTACAGCAGCTTGTAATGTGCCAATAGTAAGTTTTCTTTTACATATAAATTGTGTCTCATGACATATGAATTGTGTCCAAAGACTTTCTTACATTGTAAGCAGTTGGAGTTATTTTTCTAGGCTGGTTATATAACAGCTTCCCATTTCATATGATTATTATTTCAAGACATTTGCTTGAATTAATATATTGCAGTTGAAGCGAGATTTATAAATGTTACTACAAAACTTTAATGACACTAGCTTAAAGCTTATTCAAGCAAGATTTCAAAGGAGAGCTTTCAACTTGCCCAGCTGATGTACGGAAAGCTTTATTTGAATTATATATATAAATAAGACAAAGACAATGACACTAAGTTAATGATTAACTCACAACTAAAACATCATAAGCTAGCTTTTAGAAGCTTTAAAAACTGGATTTAAAAAAGCTTGAATGCATTTATGTGCATTTTAATAAAAGCTTCGCATTACGTTTTATTATTGTTCTATGCTTATTGCTATAACTTAAGCTGCTGCTGATATTTTAAACAGTTCAAGTTAACACAAATTAATTAAAAACTTTAAGAGCTCAAGCTAAAGGTTCTAGATACTTAAACAGATATAAATAGTTAGTTGACTCCACAGTAAATAAACTTTGTGGAATAGTAGATGCCTCTAATGAGACTTCACAGCGTAAAAAAAACACTCTGCCAGGGTACAAATCCGAACTAGACATTGTCAACGACACCCGAAGTCTTTCAATTTACGAGCGATCACGGTGTGGGGCATAATTTATGTCTACGCGGCTGTTCATAAAGTTGCTTCTTTATTGATTAAGCTGATCATCAGCAGCCAGTGTCATTGGGTATATAAACAGAGTGGAAGTCGCGCGCTCAGTGTCGTCGCTCAGCTGGTTAGTTTGACCAACTGATGTGAGGAGTCTTTATTAATAAATTGCATAATTAAGCGGCATGAATCACACACGCTGAACGCAGGCGATGGCCCAGCTAGCAGCCATCCCGATGCGGGCGCTGAGCGATAAGACCGCAGCAGCAGCAGCAGCAGCAGCATCAGCATTTGCAATTGCATTTACATTTGCAGTAAATGGAGCTCGGTGACTGTGCCTAGCCCTGGGCCTGTGCCTGTGGCTGAGTCTGTATCTGTGTGGATTGTCGCAATGTGCTTCAGTTTTGCTGCAGGCACAGCTGGAGACGGTGCTGCAAAGATGCGCAAGTGGCTAAGTGCGTTGGAATTTATAATAAAAAAAAATATAAAAATAAAAATTAAAAAAAAATATTTAAAAAAAAACAAACAAAATTAAAAAATAAAAATAAAAAAACAAAATAAAAAAATAAAAGAAAATAAAGAAAATAAAAATTATAATGACAATGACAATGACGAAGACAATGACAATAACAATGACAATGACAATGACAATGACAATGACAATGACAATGACAATGACAATGACTATGACAATGACAATGACAATGACAATGACAATGACAATGACAATGACAATGACAATGACAATGACAATGACAATGACAATGACAATGACAATGATAATGAAAACGACAATGACAATAAATATGATAATGATAATGACAATTATCATTGTCATTATCATTATCATTATCATAATGATTATGATAATGACAATGATAATGACAATGACAATGACAATGATATTGATAATGATAATGATAATGATAATGTTAATGATAATGTTAATGATTATAAAAATAAAATTCATAATTATATTAATAATGATTATTGTAATGAACATAATTATAGGGACAATAATGATGATAATGATGATAATGATGACATCTGATTCATATAAATATGACTCTAACAAATCTCTCTTTTTTGCCTACTTTACAGATGGCATTTACTTGTCCAGCTCACGGCAAATGCTGGAGCCCATCATGGAGGAGACCTCCGAGGATGAGGAGCATGCGCAAAACAGCTGGAATGGCTACGAGCAGCGCAACAGCAGCAGCTGCGGCGGTTTCTGGAGTTCCGCAGAGTCCGAGACGGGCTCGGTCATAAGAGTCGAAATTAACAAGGGTCAGTGAAAACACACACACATATATATATATAGATCGATTCCGACTAAAGTGATTTTTTTTTTCGAATATAGATATCGACGCAATGTCGGAACGCGACTTTGCCTGCCCGCCCAAACGGGCGCGGCGCAGCCAGGAGGAGCTGCAGCAACAGCCGCACAGTCTGGAGGATGTGGTGCAGCTGCGTCGTCCGCCGCCGCCGCGTTACGATGCAGAGACGCACAACAGTCTGGAGCGTTTCCTGGCGCTGGAGGCCTGTGCACGGGACAGCTACGGTAGTCAGGGTCAACGCAATAGTACGGGCAGCTGTCGACGCGGTGGCAACTTTGAGGACTTCTACTCGGACAACGATTCGTATCATTCGCTGTCGCGCAGCTCGTCGCTGGTGCAGTTCGAGTCGCTGGAACGACAGATGACGCTGCAGGAGCAGCATCAGAGCATGAGCAGTCTGGGCAACAGTTCGCCCTCGCTGCTCAGCTGCGATACGCTGGCCAGCAGCAGCGGCGGCACCAGCGGCAGTCACAGCAATCCGGACAGCCGTCGCGGATCGGCCACGTCGCTGCTGAAGCGCTACGAGTCGAGCGACGGCCGCCTGCATCAGACCTACTTTGAGCTGAACAAGCTGGACCTGGAGGAGCAGCAACGCGAACTATTTGGTGCCTGCAAGAGTTTGCATCAGGCGGAGCTGAAATCCGACTCGGAATCGAGCAGCTCCTCCAGCAGCGATAGCAGCGGTCACAGCATGCTCAGCGCCTGTCCAGGCAAGCAAGATGCTGCCGGTGCTCGACGCTTGCCACTCAATTCGGCGGAGAATTTGTCTGAGGATTCGGGCTACTGTGAGCCGAGCACATTGCGGCGCAGCAAGAGCAAGAGCATACCAAAGAATTTCGACAAACTCTGCGAGGAGGAGGAGGAGCTGCTGGAGCATGAGGCAGCGACAGCAACAGGGGCAGCACAATCAGCAGCAGCAGCGGCAGCAGCAGGGGCACATTCCAAAAACTCCAATGATTTGTGTCAGACAAAAATAGAGCAGCAGACAAACGAGATACAGTCGGCATCGACATCATCTCTGGGCTCTCCGACATTGTCTATAAATAGCAGCGAGAGAGACACACACTCGCCATCGCCCAGCGGATCAGCGGCGTCGGCGACGTCGTCGTCGCCATCGTCTTCAACATCGTCCGCCGCCTCGTTCACTTGGCTGCGCAACAGTTTGCCCGATATACGCGAGCCGCGAGGTTCGTCGCCCAAATTTCTAACGGACAACAACAGCTACGTGCTGGCCAACAACAAGAGCAACAGTAGCAGCAGCAGCAGCAGCAGCAGCAGCAGCAGCACCTCCTCCTCACCAGTGTTGGTGCGAACAGCCACAGCAGCTTCAGCCGGCAGCGTGCCCAACGAGCTGCAGCAGCTGGGCAGACGTCGACGCACACGTCGCCAGCAACAGCCACACCAGCAGCAGCAGCAGCAGCAGAGGAATTGCCATAGCAGTGACGGGCATAGCTCCAGCGAGGATTTGGATAATTTCGATTGCAGCAGCTTGCCGCGCATACGACGCAGCTGCAGCTGGAACGAACGTTGTGGCTTTGGTGGCGTAACGGGAGCAGGAGCAGGAGCAGGTGCAGGTGCTGGCTATCTGAATGCTAGCTATCAGAATCTAACACTACTCGACTACACGGATCCCAGTGAGAACTGCAAGCGCAGCTCGTTGGACATGGAGAAACGCAAGCGTATTGTTTCTGGCGAGGATTACGAGCAGCTCATATGCAAGGGCAACTTTCTGCTGGACGAGCTCAGTCAAATCTACGATAAGAACGCATCCATATTGAATGACAAAACGGCCGAGCAGGAGGAGCACGACGTGCTGGATGCACCGCCGCAGGTGCAGCATGTTCAGTTGACCATCAGAAAGCCGCCAGCGCGTCAAAAGCGACACACAGCGGAGCTGGCGCAGGTTCAAGCGGAAGTGACGCCGTCAGCACCAGCACCAGCAGCAGCAGCTGTGCTGCCCGCCGCCGCCGTCATCAGTTTTAGCAGCTTTGGCAAGACCTTCGATCAGGATCCAACTAATTTGCGCACCTCCTATGCCCAGTCGCTGGAGCAATGCAATTTCGAGCTGCCCACTGTCAAAGCGAGCAGAACTCCAGCGACGCCAACGCGGGCGCTGCCCAAGCGACGCTTCCAGAGCGCAACGGCTAAGCAGCGCAGTCTGGTTAGCAGCACGCCCAATCTATCTGCTTACGATGGCGCCCAGGAGCCGGAGGATGATATATATGTGAGCAGTGCGCACAACTCGATGCATCAGCTGCCGCAGACACCGACACAGCCGAAGCCGTTGGGCATACTCCTACCAGCTGGCTCACGTAATTCGTTCAGCAAGGAGGTGAGTTTTTGTCCCGTGGTGAGTAAGTATTGCTGGCAGGAGCAATCGTCGGAGGAGCCGCAGGAGGAGCACGAGCAGACTAGCAGTGATGAGGAGCACGATGTTGGCGAAGAGGAGGAGGAGGAGCTGTTGGATAACGATGCCACTGTTATATTTAACACCAAAGAGAACGAAAACATAGCAGCGCGCTACAATGAAGAGCAACAGCTAAGAGCGCCGCAGCCAGAGCAAGAGCAACCGCAGCCAACCGCAGCGCCAGAGAGCGGTAATGAGCGTGAGCGCGAGCGCGAGAGCGTGATCGATGACCAAAACATTGAGAGCGATGAAAACAACGAAAACATCGCCGCCAATGTGGAAACGAAACAACAAACATCGCCGCAGCCCGTTTCAAGCGGTGCTGCTGCCATGCCAGCTGCCGCCGCTGCTGTCAGTCTTGAAACGCGCGTCGTCGCGAGCTCATTGTGCGCGATCGTTAAACCAGTTACGACAGTCATACCAGTTACGCCAGTGCCGCCTATACATACACGCCCCCTAAGCCTGCATTTGCCAATATTAAGCGAACCGCCCACTAATCGCGCCCATCACATACTCTACGCCTCGCAGCAACTGCTGCAGCGTTACGACAGTGACGACAGCAACATGCCCAAGCCACTGCCTGTTGCGGCGCCAGCGCATATCGCCAGCGCCAACAACAACGAATCGCCGCCTCTGAAGCAGCGCGGCAACAAAACGGATGAGAAACATCCTAGCTCGAAGAGTTTCTTATCACGTTTCGCCCATGGCTTACGCTTCTCCTTGCGTCGCAAGAAGAAGCAACAGCATCAGCAGCAGCAGCAACAACAACAGCAGCAACAACAACAGCAGCAGCCAACAGGCAAGCAGAGCAACAGCCAGAAGCAAACGCCGCAAAGCAATGGCAAAAGCCAGGATTTTATACACATACCGTTAAAGCCGCCGCGCAGCACTCTGCTAGATGACAGCACAGCATCCCAGGCGAGCACTGCCAGCATTCATAGCCGCCAGACGACAGCGGCAACAACAAGCACAGCAGCTGAGCTGGAGCAGCCAAAGACGTCCACATTGCAGAAGCTGGTAACGGGCAAACCCCCGTTGCCCAAATTGCCACCACGGCAAACGCATGCGCCGTACAACGCGCACAGTGCTGCCAATTGCTCCGCAAGTGCTGCCCATGCTAGCGATGCTCTCTTGGCCGCCGAACGGGAGCAATATGCGGCATTTGCCCAACAGTTAACAGCGGGCCAGCGACACGATATGTCGCTAACCGGAACGGCAACGGCAACGGAAACGGAAATGGCACGTGCAACCGAATCGCCATCGCGCGCCTCGGTGGCACAAAAGACGCAAATGTTTAATCAGCTGGGTGCCGGCATACAGTCGCGTCCTTTGACCATGGTCACCGCCGTGCCGGTGGCCGTGTCGCCCATGCTGGATGACAGCGATGCAGCCGGCAAAATGGGGCTCATCGAGACGAACTTGGACACACACGAAACGGTTATAACGGGCAAAACGCGCTCCTTGATGGATATCACCTGCAATCCGCTGCACAAACGGTATCTGGTCAAGCGTTTGAATGTGACCAGCGCCGTCTATGATGGTCATGATGATGACGACGATGATGATGATGATGGGCATCTGGATGGTAATAATCAGCGCATTAAGCCATCAACACAAGCGAACGGCGTGCAAATCGCATCGGTGCGTCGGCCACACAAAAGCATGGAATTTCTCCTGGACAAAGAGAATCAAAAGAATGTTTTGGTGAGTACTAAGCAAAAGCATATCTTAACAATGCTCTGTATGTGTACAGTGAACACTCGCTTAACGAGTACCACAAATTGTTATTGCAAATGTCAACAGACCACATAATATTAAATTTGTTTGCCCATAATCCATATTCTAACAATATATTGTGTGTACAGTGAACACTCGATTAATGAACAAAAAAAAACTATTCCAGTCAATAAGATTCTATTAAGAAACTCTATTTTCCATTCTCAGCTTAATTCTTAAAAAATAATGCAAATATTTGTATCTGATTTCTTCATGTTTTCCATGCCAATAGTTGTACGGTTGTACGCTCCAGAAAGCTTTCACTGTAGTTATTACACTCCTGCTCCTCCTCTTCTTTTTCTGCTCTCCTCTCTTTGACACCCATTTCGTTTTGTTGGTTGGCAGCAACTACTAACACATAGTTTTTATGGCTTTTGTCTGGGCCAACGTCATCAACCCCCCTTTATGGGATGATGAGCCGCTCCCCTGTCGTGTGCCCAAAAAAGTAAGGTCGATTCGCTAGTTGATATATTTTGGCTTACAATCAGAAAACCCAAAATTTCAGAAATTTTCAAAGCGTATATAAAAATTTAAACAGTTATTTATGTAATCTTATTGATTTTAATTAAATATGATTTTTTGCCTAACATTCTGCTAAAATTTGTATAATTTTATTATTTTAGATAATTTATTTTACCAAAATTGAAATCATTTCTCTAAAAAGTATATTCGACAAATTGAAAGGGCATTCCAGTTTCGTTTTAGCGTACTGTCCCTAATTCATGTTTGCCTATTCTCATATTAACATTACATTTTCTTCTCTTGCGTTCTTATATTATTTTTTCACTCAATGTGCAAATTATGCATACGACGTGATTTCCATTCATTTTACTCTCAGTAACTGTTTTTTCTTGCTATCTCTCGCTCGTCTGCTCTAGTTCTGGCATTTCCAGTTGAGCGCAGCTTTGATCTTCCTTATGCCTGTTAATTGATTTCGGCAGTTTCACTTCATCCCCCCCTCGTTTTGGCTCTCGTGACACTCCCATTTTAGCGACACGCCCGCTCTGTAGCCTGCTGTTAATGCAGTCGCGCGTAACAGACAAAAACTGTGCATTTTGTGTGTCATTTTTTTCGCTTCCTTTCACGCGTTCGCTTTGGTACGCTTTTCGCCAGCAAAGTTCGCCTACTACAGTCTTTAACACGCTCTTTAATGCGTGCCGCATTAACATTTACATTATTCGTATCCTTTTCATCCACAATTCGCCTGCTAATCGGCTTTGGCGCATGGACGCGTTTTAAAACGCTAATGAACGCCTTGAGTGGAGTTTTTTTGTTTTTCTTGTCGCGTTATGATTTATTAGATGTTTAAGTATATTATATCCATGCGTACGTATATATGTATGTGTATGTGTGTTTGCCCTTCATAATCCTTGGTTTTCAGTCAAAAATCAATGCCTTTGCCTGTATTGCGGCTATTGTTTTTGCTTTTCTTGCGTGGTTTTCTCGCCTCACGTTTTCTCTTAATTTCCTTTACTCGCGCGTTTTTATGGTTCCCCTACAAATTACGAGCAATTTAATGTCATCTTCCGCCGAGACAATGACCACTTGACCTTAGGTTATATAATTTGTGTAATGAAGTGCCGCCACTGCGAACACGCCCTCTTTCAGCCTTGTACACGTGGGGTCTACAAAATCTGTGTTATTTTTTTCTCATTATGTTAATCAAGTTGTTTGTCTTGGGGCCTCTTTGAAATGGACAAAATGAAATTGCTGACCCAAAAGTTTTTGCACAGTTGTTGTAGTTCAACTGTTGACGAGATTTGTAAGGCAAATTTTGTCTTATTTCTGCTGTATTATTGTTGTTTCACAGTGTGCACATTGTTTTAGGCGGTAGTGTATTGTTAAAGCTAGCTCTATACTGTGTACTTTGCATTTGACGTCAGTGTAGAGCAAATACTTTTGGGGTTAAACTTGATCAAGTTCAGAATGTGCAACTTATTTGGGACTCTAGTGTTCACGTAGCCTTACTACATATACTTTATTTTGGTCGACAGTATTAGGTCTCTATTCAGGGGTATTTGATATATGTAATGGCGATAAGAAATCTTTATATGATATTTTGAAGCAATATAATAGGATTGATAAAACTTCTGACGATTCCTTTGTAAAAATTTCAAAATAGTACCTATTACCTATTGGTAAAGCTTTTGTGCACTTTTAAATATATTTTTCGATCTATGGATAATGATACAAATATTCTAGGAATTATATCTAAATATAGCTGATATATAATTTCTCGGTTTTTACATTTTATCACGATTTCTCTTCAATGTTTTCCAAGTTTTCAGTAAATTCGCAATATTTTGTGGTTTATATAAATAGAAAAAGATTTTAAAGAATTCAGTAGATGAGTCAATATCCTAGCGCTAAAATTTGAAAGAATGCAGCAAGCAAATCACATGAAAATTATATAGATACATGACTGTATACAGTGCTGACACAACATATTATGACAAGTGGTCATATAACGTTGTTACATTAGTTTTTTACAATTAAAGGAATTTAGTTTCATTTAGTTAATGAATTATTCACACATAATGAATTTACTCTAGAGAGTATCTAAATTTCGTTGAGCTTCATTTGGCATAGTTTTTTTCTCAAGTCTTTTGACTTGAAGGAAAAGCAATAAAAAGCTGCGCCCTTTTTTGTTTCTGTCTTAGCTTCTTGTTAGTTTGTTCTTTTTGTCGATTTTCTTATGCGCAACTCCCACGTTTTAGCTAAAAAGGCCAAAAACTTTCGCTCCGGTTTCCGCTAAAAATTTAGCCGCCTTTGCTCAGCAGTTACTGCTGCTGTTATTGTTGTTATTGCAGTTGTCATGTGGAATAATAATGAAAAATAATTATATGAAAAAAAGAAAGCATAGCATAAAAAATTATGCTGTCGCCACTAAAGCAAATAACTGAAGAACAAGAAAAAGTAAACTTAATTAAAAAGTATATTTATTATCATACTCCTGTAATGTAAACAAATTATTGATAAGCACTTCGAGTGCAGTTGAAAAATCTCTTGTTAATCCGCCGGAAAAAAGAAGAAAAGAAAAGCGTGCCAGATTTCTAATTCCCCGGTCACTGTGCTTGTTTATTACCTTTTTTGAACTTCTGCTTTACTTATCTTTGCGTGTATTTGAGTGTCGCCTGATAAAACAAATGGGAAAAAACTACAAGAACAAGCAAATATACAAGAACAATAGCAACTATTCCGCTGTCCACCCAGCGCCTACCATTCTTATGCGCAGTAAATTATTAAATGCTCGGCACAACGGGCTTTCAATTGTTAGATTTCATTTTCATCAAATATTTGTTGTTAACATTCTCAGTCGGTAAATATTGAAGGCAAAGGCGAAGGTAAAAACATTGCTCGCTCGCACGCACATACAAAAACAAAGTAGAAGAAAAAAACATCGCACAAGCCACCGCTTGGCTGTCTGCCAAACAGAGCGAGCAGTGCATCAACTTTCTGTGCTCTTTACAAACAGCGCTCTCTTGATATTTCTACGCTGTAATAACATAGATGCTCGCTATGTGCATGTTACAAGATCCATGCTGTTAGCTGTGCAGGTCACTCTGTTAGCTGCTCTTTATTACATAATCTGTCTGTCAAAATTCCACTAGATATCATAACAGCACAGTTGCTATGCTGTTGCTATTCATACTCGCGCTTTGTATTACAACAACGTTGCGCTCTTAATTTACAAATAGCTCGCTCTTCCTCTCTCCATCTCTGTATGTCTCTCTTTTGCTGTCGTTTGATCTGCGTGTATTTCCTACCTGTTTCTTTTGGCCATATCGACGCAGGCTTATCTATGCTCACATTTGCAGTTGTTTTTATTTTTGCCATATTTGCAGCACTTTGTCTTGCTTCAGCGATTGCATGTCTATCATTAGCAGCCATCTCACTCTCACCTTTTGCCTAAAATGTCAAAACAAACGCGACAAAAATAGTGAATAAAATGCAACTTGCTTTTTGTCATAGTTGCGGAAAAAGTCAAATTGAAATATTCGCAGAAGAAGACAAAAAAAAAAATAGATAAACCGCTTTCTTTTAAATAGTCGACAAAACGTTGGAATTGCACAAATAATTTTCAAAGTAATTAAAATACTTCCATATCAATGTTGAAATGTGTTTAGATGCAGCTAAGCTGAGCTCATGGCTCAAGCATTCACTTGTAATTTATTCAAATTGAAGCGGCGTTTTGTCTTGCTCTACACTCGCTTCCCACACAAAGTGCACGCCCAGGGCGAAAGTGCGCATCGGGCAGGAAATTTTAATTAATTTTCGTTTATATTTGTTGATCTCAAAACTTGGCTGGCCGCAATTTATTGTTCACACGCTTTCAATTACGTTTTCAATTCTTTTTCTTTATTTTTCGCAGCGAGTAATTTTTATTTTTGCATAAACACTTGAAATTGAGAAACTCAAAAGAGAAAAACTGAGATAAACAAAAGTTTTCATTTTGCACCTCAATTGATTGAACGCAAATCAATTTTGTTTTTCTTTTTTTGTGGTTTGTTGAATATCTGAAAATGCGTAGGCGCTTTCCGCTGCGTGGGCAGTTGAAGCTAAACAGCAATTGCTTGGAAATTTATTTATTTTCCGCTAATTGATGAGTCTTTTATTTTAATTACTATTGAAGCTAATTCAATTGGGCCAAGCTCATAAGTCTTTATCAATTGGACGCTCGTTGTTATTTGAGTAAAATATGCGAAAGCTGCTTAGAGAATACATACGTACACACATACATATCTTTATCTATATACTTGCTACTCAGTTTATATATAAGTTAGTTTCTTAAGTTTGGCACACACATCAAAGACTTAATCTACTTTATGGTCAATATTTTATTTTGCTTAACTTTATCTATGTTTGCTTTGCTTTGATTTGCTTTGCTCTGCTTTTGGCCATATTTTTGTTTTCACACCTCAAATGGT